TGTGTGTGTGTGTGTGTGTCCAGACAAGATTGTTCAAACCTTCACGTAATTTAAACAATCTTTGTCGCCCCCCCATCAGGTTCAGGATCAGGTGCACAGATCCCTCGCTGTGGCTCAAGTGCTCGCAGATGACGTGGACTGTCACGTGTTCCCCTTCAAAGACTTCGGCAAAGGACGCATCAAGAAGCTTCGCGTCAGCCCGGACGCCTTCATACAGATCAGCCTCCAGCTGGCGTACTTCAGGGTAACACACAGATTTGAGAGTGTGAGGCTGAAGGAGCCGGGAAGCTGCAGCGCTGCAATGAGTAGAAAATAATTAACGTGAAGAGAGAGAGAGAGAGAGAGAGAGAGAAATGATGCTCCAACATCTGTCTTTAGTTCTCTAACAGTGACTGGATCCGGTTCTGTCGTCTTCTCCTCTCAAACCTCTTCTCTCCACCTCCTCCAGGATCGTGGTGGTTTCTGTTTGACCTACGAGGCGTCGATGACCCGTCTGTTCAGGGAGGGCCGGACGGAGACCGTTCGATCCTGCTCCAACGAAAGCTCTGACTTTGTGAAAGCTCTGGAACGTGGAGAGGTACCGTTCAGTTGTCAGGGAAGAGCCTGCGCAGCTTTTTAAACTCCAGTTGGAAATGTGAAGGTGTTGGATGGTGCGTGACGTGTGCATTGGTTTGTCAGACAGAGGAACAGTGCAGGCATCTCTTCCGACGGGCCTCGGAGAGGCACCAGAACCTCTATCGAATGGCCATGACCGGAGCTGGAATCGACCGACACCTCTTCTGTCTGTACGTGGTGTCCAAATACCTGGGGGTGGAGTCACCGTTCCTCAAAGAGGTACGTCTGTCCGTGTCGTTTCAGTGTCTGAGGATCCTCCTCCTCTGAGAGGAACTCAATCTCCTCCTTGGCGGCAGAATCATCTAGAACACGTTACGATTAGACTTATGCCGGCTTGCTCCGAGGTGACACTGTCAACAGTGTGTGACAGAATGAATAAAGAGAGTAAAGATAAAGTAAATTAAATAAATGTGTATCCTGAGTAATGCAAAACCAGTGCTTCATAGTAATTATCAATAGAAATGAGAGTAAAATAAGTAACGAGACAGAGAAACTAAAGTGACACTGGGTAGAAATGATAGAAGACCAGGTCACATGGGATATTTCTCACGATATTGAAATGATTTGATGAAAGTTCCTCAAGTCCGACACGTCTGCGATGTCTTCGCTGCAGGTTTTGTCGGAGCCGTGGCGTCTCTCCACCAGTCAGACCCCAGTTCAGCAGATGGAGCTGTTTGACCTGAAGAACCATCCGGACTTTGTGTCGCTGGGCGGAGGGTTCGGACCTGTGAGTAAAAAAAAAAAAAAAAAAAAAAAACAGCTGCCCTGGTGAAGGGGTCGTAAACACACACACACAGTAAATGAATGTCATGTGATCTGTGTGCCCACGTCAGGTTGCTGATGATGGTTATGGGGTTTCTTACATCATCGTTGGCGAGGATATGATCAACTTCCACGTGTCGTCCAAATACTCCTTCGGTGGGACTGTAAGTAAAAGCTGCTACTGTCGTCAGGGTTCAGAAAATATAAAATATAAAGATACTGAAGTAATTAGAAGATGAGGGGGGCAGAAACAGGAAGTATTTTACACCATACAAGTAGAACCAGTGTTTACTTAAGTGGAGACAAAAGCAGTTACACAGGACGTCTGGAACCACACGGAGCTTCGCTGTCTGTTTTCACTTCCTCTTTCATCCACTTTTATTTTCACCATGAAATCCTTGGTTGTCGCTCCAGGTTGATAAAGATCAGGTCGTCTCCAGTGTGTGTGTGTGTGTGTGAGTCATTCAGAAAGATAATGAAGGTGCAGGACAGAAACAACAAAGTCCCTAAGGCCATCGATACCTGCCTCAGCCTTCCAGTCTTATACCTTTACCCACTTCTCCTCCCTCTCCACTTCCTTCTGTTTCTGTGGTTTTATCTGCTCTTCCCTTCTCCCCCCCACACACATCCTCAATTCTTATCTCTGCTTCGCAGGACTCCCACAGGTTCGGCGCTCAGATAAGCAAAGCTCTCCAAGACGTCATGATTCTTCTCACACCCGACGCCAAAACCTCACAGTCGTCTAAAGCTCAGTCCAAGAAGGTCCTCTGAACACGGCGCGCCCCCCCCCCCCCCCCCCCCCCCCCCCCCCCCCCC